GTTTCAACGGAAAATTCAAGCTCATTTGGAGATACTATATCTGGAACAGATTATGGTTTGTTATTGGATGATGAAGAAGTTGAATCCCATTTATATGGTGATAATAATTTGCAGTCTATGTCTGATGGATACAGTGAAGTATTTCCAAGGTAGTACATTTTCTTTTCGCATGTCTGCATTTTCTTTTTCACTTTTCTTTATGTTTAAATGTGTGCTATTGGTAGATGAATGATTTGAGAACTGATTTTCATTCTTTTTATGAGAAACCGAACTTTCATTGAGAAAGAATGAAAAATTATATAGACATAAAAAAATGTCCACAAAAAAAGGAGTCAGCAACAAACTACAAGAAGGGGCTCCAGACCAAGGCATATGGAAACTGATTTCCATATACCATCCATGGTGTATAGAGATCGAGCTATTTATCTTTGTCCAACCGATCTCCCAAAGGATAGCAATAGTTGCTCGAGTCAAATACAGCTGCGTGAAAGCTTTAGTTCAATAATTGCTTAAATTTCTTTCTAGCCCAATGATCTTTATGCATACTTCTTCTAGGAGGGCTAGAAAAGGAATTTATGCGTAGTATGGTCATTTGGCTTTGTCAGTTGTAAGGGAAAAGTAGCCTTAGTTACTGTTTGTAGCCTTCATAAAACATATTGTTGGGTTTGTTTTTTAATATAAGTATCGCTCCATAGCTTCATGATGTTTACAATTTTATTAAATGCAATCCTTCTTGTAATGAACAAACGGAATCTTAAGAGGATATGGAGGAGGTTTGATCCTTAGCTAGATTTAATAACTCAAGCAAGGCTCTAAATATTAATGTAATTATTTGTTAGGCTGCATTCTCTTGTATCGGACCACTTTTCTTGTTCATTGGGCTAGTCCTTGTTTGGCTCCTTTTGACCAGTTGTCTTTGTTTTATGGCCATTGTTGGCCCTCTCGTATTTCTTATTTTCTTGATGAAAGTTTGATTTTCTTTTTATCAAGATAAAATGTTCTAAATTTGAGTTGAATTTTGTCTTTTTAAATTTTGTAACCTTTTGAAATATGTATTGTTGGACTAGGACAGATACAGCTCAACAAGACAATCAATCTTACATATCCCTCAAATATTTTATCCTCCCTTCCTCAACTTCATATGATATTCACGTGTTTATACATGCATCTTACTTTCTAGGAAGAAAAAGTTGACAGTTCACTGGAGGAAGTTTATCAGTCCTCTTATGTGGCGGTGTAGATGGTTAGAACTGCAAATTAAGAAACTTCAGTCTCAATCATTAAAATACGACAGAGAACTTGCATTATTTGATCAAAGAAAGCAGTCTGTCTACGAACACTTCTCAACGGTAGGTTTAGATGTGAAGTCAACAGGATTCTCAAGTCACACTCAGAGACACAGGGTTATGAAAAGAAAGAGAAGGAAGAAAACTGAAGAGACTACTGAAGTAGCTTCATATATGGCGCATCATAATCTGTTCTCCTATTATGGTATCAAGTCCTCAACTATTTCTATGCAATGCTTTTTTCCCTAGTGTCTCTGTCTCCCTCTGTGACATTGCAGTCTTCTTTTGTTACTCCAGAGAAGAAGAGGTCTCTTGCTGATGACATGTCTTTGGAAGATGCTTTTAAATTAGGTAAGTGAAGTTGATCGTAATATTGCTTTTTGACTGTTGGATGGCATAGTTCTGTACATTGTATCTTATGATTACATTTTTCTTGGGGTATGTGATATCCTTTTTTGTTTGAAATGACTATGTGTTTGAAGAGCTCCTGGCTCGTGTTAGTGAGTAGTAGGCCATTGATTCTCTGCCCCGTTCTCTACAGACAAAACAAGGAATATGAAACGTGATGACATCAATGACTTCGGAGCAATGGCAGCTGATGGATGGGCACCTTCTATGTTGGGAGATAACGATAATTATTTGGAACACATCTTTCTAAAAATCGAAGCTGCACAGTCAAAAGTTCACGAGTTGAAGAACAGAATTGAGAAGGTGGTGACAGAAAATCCCATGAAATTCTCTTCAATCAATCAGCTATGCTTTCTGGCATCAAGTGATGATCCCGCTTCACCTGAAGATGGAAACGTGGACTTAGTTAGGTCTTTGCATGAAGCATCACGACTCATATCCAAGCATGCGTTAGATGTACTTATGCCCGAAACTGCAATGAAGACTCATGGAGAGGTCATGCTACTTCCTGCTACGATGCAGAACGTGGATTGTGGAATTGTAAGTTTCCTCTTATATTTATTTATTTTTAACGAAACAAAAGAAACAGGATAGTTCTGAGCATTGGAACTCCTGATTTGTATGTTTGCAGACTCAGAAAGTTGTAATGCAAGATTCCGCAGTGAAGGAAGAGTTGCAATTTTCCGGAAAGGTTAAAGATCGGTTGGTTGAGCCTCAGAAATTAGGGGAGCAGAAAATCATTTCTCAAGCTGACTTGACCTCAAAGAACAAGGAGCCCAACATGGTGCACAAAACAAAACCTTCTTCCGCTGTCAAGCCTACTTCATCCTCTAAGAAAACCAGAAAGCGGGGAGGAAGGCGAAAAACTGGTTCGAGTAAGCAGCGTAGGAAAGCAACAGGTTAGGTGGAGGTTAGAATATGTTGTTAATCGTTCTTTGTTCTACTTCTTACTTCTACTGTATATTTCCATGCCATTCTCTCATCTGCACATATCAACTCGATTATTTTTACATGCTGCAAATATTCATTAATTATGTTAATATGAAAGATAGCATTAACCAGTGGTTGTCACTATCCTCAAATTATTTATTAGTTGTTACAGTAATATGGGGTCTACTAGCATTAATAAAGATATTTATATTGAAGTGCTCAATGATGAAGCAAGTGTACTAGCATTAATAAGTACTTAAAATCACTTTTTTTTCAACTTAGAAACATTATCATTTTGTACAACGAACTACATAGGATATGTTCAGAACTCTTGATTTTCCAGCGACCTGACAACAGAGCCATCAGCAAACATCCAACTTTTCAATTATTTCAAAATGCATCTGCATGTCCGCGGGCCTATCAGCAAAATGAAATCTCTCACAAACCTGCAACCTTCCTCCACTTCTCCGAGCTTCGGATTCAAGAAGACTCAACATTTTATCCTTCTCATCTCGTATCCAAACTCTTCTGCTGTCACCCCATTGTCTAGGAGTACCATGAAGAACGAAACGGATTCCTCTCGACTCCTGGACAAGGCTATTGGAGATTCTTTTGATTGCCTCAGGGTCTGTGAAGTACGCACCCTGGGAGTTCAACCCAACATCCACATAATGGATCTCTGTTATGCTTTTTAAAAAGCTCTGTTCTGTATTGGGTATGAACTGATCCTCGTCGAGTTTTGAACATTCAACACCCGGTGCTTGCTTAGAATGAGGTGGATTCTCATCAGCAGCTATCAAGTCCTTCGAGCCAAGTTCAGCAACTAACTGGTTAGCGACAGTACCACCCTTGCTAAATCCAAGAATGATTGTTTTGGGCGTGCTGCATCCTAGTGTGGATATGGTGGCTTCCGGAGATCCTTGGTTTCTCCTTGAAATTATCTTCTTTACCTGTCAGATCCACAACATAGTGAATTAGTCCACAGCAAAATCACATATAGAAACCAACCAAAACATAATCCATTTGATTTAGAAATACTCACGGCCAATAGATTGGAGATTCAAATCTTGGTTTAGGCATACACCATCAAATTAAATATTAGAGAACCAAATCTTTTCTGATCATAGCTCAACAAGTTTAGTTATACACTATCCACTATGAGGTCATGATTTGAATCTTCCCTAGATATGAGACATATGTTTTGATGAAGAGGTCAGAAATTCAAAACTTGACCCATTTGGAATAAATAACCAGCAACAAACCCATTTGGATCGTACCTCACTGTAGCAACTTCCCAAAAGTGAAAGGGTTGACACTGAAGCAGGAAACCCATTTGCAGTATATGATTTTGGCTCTCCCCATCGATTAAGAGAAGGTATAAAATCATGATATATAGCAAAAGGCCCATTGAAATCAGAAGCCTCAATAACCCATGCATTAGTGGAGTCTCCAAATTTCGAAACTAAAATGTCGGCTATGTTCTGCAGATCAGACAATCTCTCAATCACTGGATTGCCCGTCCCTTCGACCCGATCCCCATTAAAAAGGATGGCATTCGCATGAGGCATCTATTAGCATAGAAGATATTATAAGAAGTTAAATACCCACCCCCCATGGGTATCCTTTTCAATAATGATGGCATGGCGGGAAATTGCAGAATACAATTGCATTTCGAGCATCGGGAACTTACAGTCAATGTTTTGGAAGTCGGGGAAAGACAGAGTGATGCTGCAACTCGATAAAACCTGTGGCACTGGGGATGCAATGGAACCTTCAAAATTCCACACCAACGCTCCATCGTCGTCAAGAGGGATGCCTGTAAGCTACAGAATTAGAGGAAAATTGAAGATGGGTAATATTAAAAGATCATCCGGAAATCGTTCTCAAGTCGGAGAGAAGAAAAATTTGATCGGGTTGCTCGAAAGCATACCACCGAGAGAGTTTAATGGACGGATCTTAAAAGAAGTCGGTCTTTACTTGTTTTGCTCCATCTCTCAATTGGGTTGCCTTCTATTTACGTCATTTTGTCTTATTTTTTAAACAAAGAATTAACAAATTTACCCCCACCCTTTTTGCGAACTTAGGTAATATTTGGGACATATTTAGTAAGTATTCAATTATTTTTTTATTTTTGGTAGGATCATAATTTTTTTTTTTTTTTTTAGTATTGCATTGTGCCTATATAAGTCTTAACATATACTTTTTTCAAATCACATAAAATTAAAATTTGTATTTAATTCTATAGTTTTTTTTTTTTTTTTTTAGTTTCACGTAAATGTAAAAAATATAATAAATACAAAATTGAAAATTTACCATATTAATTTAAAACAAATTAATCTTATTGATTCTATTTGAGTAATTAGTGTGTGCAATATATAAATAAAACAATAATTTATTTTATATCCAACCTTTTTGTAACAAATTTCCACAATTTTAATGGAAGAAATTAGTTGAGAGCTTTGAATAATGTCTGGTAAAACTGATGATTTTAAAACGCTATCATCGAGCGATGTTTACCTAAGCATGGCTTCATGTGCTTAGATATTTGATTCAAATCCTAAATGGCCAAGTTTTGCCTTGCTATGGACGGTTTCAAACAGCTCATACATCGACATCGCTACAAAAGAAAATAAACATGTGCGGTCTGAAGATTAGTACCTCTAACCTCTTAGGATCCGGGCATGTGTAAAAAAGTTTACTAGGCTTCAAAAGCATTGGCGGTGTAATGGAAGGAAAAAGGTTCACTGTGAGATGAAAAGAGAGGTTGAAGGCACCTGATGCGAACCTCAGATGAACGGTTGAAGTCGTGCAACAATCCATTTGATCCTCAAGGTCGATGGGATAAGATATACTACAAAATCTTACTGCTTCCAAAATGAAAAACCAGAATCTCTTGCAACCTTTCTGATCTCAGGTTGTCTGTGAAAATCAATTTTTTTGGGGAACAATTTCGAGTTCGAGTTCTTGCCTTCCCCAGAAGAATCTGATGTATTCTCTGATGAACCATTCATGTAGCCTTGAATCACAGGCTTACCAGCAAGCCAAGCTTTTAGTACCTCATCTATCTTTGGTTCAGGAAGCAACTCTTTTTCCTTCATTTCCAAATAGTATTTATATGCATCTTCTAGTTTTCCATTCAAGAAGAGACCGTGTATTAAGACAATATAAGAGCTGCGATCAGGACTAATTCCATTTTCACTCATTTCATGCCATATTCTGGAAACAATATCAAGCTGCCGCCATCGGCAAAATTTTCTGATCAACATTATGTAGGTTTCAGTGGTTGGATTGCACCCCATTGTTCTCATCTTCTCCAATACCTCAAATATTTCTTCCTCCGTTCTCAGGAATCTCAAGAACGCATGATATGTCTGAATTGTCGGGCAGAGGCCCCGCTCCAACAGCTCCTCCAAAACCACTCTAGCATCATCGAATTTCCGGGCCTTGCATAGAGGTTTGATAACCGAGTTATAAGTAACAACATTTGGAATAATGCCCTTCTCCTCCATTGTTTTTATGAGATCGATAGCTTCTTTCAGAAGCCCACCTTTGGCAAGAGCGTGAATGACTGCATTGTAGACTTTCCTATCAGGGTCAATTTTCATTTGCTTCATATTGTCAAAAAGCCTGAGCACCCTATAAAGGTTGCGAAGTTTTGAGTAACAAGAAATTATACTTGCATATGAGACAGCATCATGACCGATACCCCTCTGCGTCATCTCCCTCCAAATTCTCTCTGCATCGCGAAGACTGCCAATTATATTGCACCATCCATTGAGGACAATATTGAAGCTCTTTGTGTTAAACGGGAACGCATCTTTGTTGCAAAAGAGTAAATATTCAGCATCCTTCACATTTTTGTAACGGCAGAGGGCAGAGAGAAGGCTTTGAAATTCCTCTAGTCCAACTTTGAATCCGAATCTTTTATGAGCATGGAAGGTATTTATAGCTTTACCAACATCATGAACGGCACAGTATCTCCTAATCATGATTATTAGAGTTTGAGGTGTCACAAGAGAAGAGCCCGTTGTCCCTCCTCTCATCTCGTCGATCAAGGCCCATGCCGTGTCAAACTTCCTCATTTTCCCAAGAATTGAAATCATTGAATGATATTCACGTATAGAGTGGGTATAGCCAGGCTGCTTACCAGCCCAAACAAAAAAAGTGAATGCTGCTTCCCAATCATTACGGATCCGAGAAAGTACTGTGACTACCAACTCCCCTGAGACCTTAATACAGCAATGCTCAAGCTTATTCTTTACTTGAATTCGATCTACATTCCGAAACCCACGAAATATATCCATAATGGCATCCACATCTCGTATCACACCTTTGTCATTGATGTTCAATTGCTCAATGTTCATGTTATCCTCTTCATGCTCTTCTCGATCATCATCATCATCGTCACTAACATGATCATCATTGGCTGCATGTTGACTAGCTTCTTCTGAAGGCATGTTCAAAATATCGCAGTTTGAACCCGGAGAACTATAATAGCGAGAACAAAAGCCAGAGGAGAAAAGATCCCCAACATTGGAGTTCAATGCAGTAGTAGGGTAGACAGTATGAATGCGAGTAGGCCATGAACTAAAACCAGAGGCCACGGTAGCACTGGTAAGAGCCCTGCGCACAACATGTTGGGTGGATTTAACAGAAGAGCAACTGAAATGTGTATTACTCAGAAGCGACAATGCGCAAAACTTTGATCTCATTCTTCCATTCCACATAGTAAGCTAGAAGCAATCTGCAAAAATCAGGTCATACTTTCCACATATTGTGGAAAAAGTTACAAGCTCCAAGTGTTTGTCCGAGAGAAAACCAGAGTAGATACAAAAATGGAATGTGCCTACTGATCAAGATGAGAGAAGGCGGAGTTGTACTACCTGGACATCACAGTCGGAAGTGTGAAGATAGGCTACAGTGAATGGGGAAACTTCCAGTCTGAGAAGCACCAATATGATTGTCGACAACGAGGCACGTCACTCTCAAGTCTTAATCTCGTTCTTCTTATGCAGTCTGCCAATGAAATTCTAATCACTGAATCAATTTTCTCGGTCAATAGTTACATTTTCATGTTTCAAAGAGGCATCGTCCATCTCTTCCATGTAATTGTCCTCTTCAAGATTCACCCACTCCTCGACTGCTGAACCATCTTCCATGGCTGCTTTAAATCGCAGATAGTGTCACACAACAAACTAATTTGACAAGTACAAACTCACCTGTAATACAGTAAATGCATTCAAGTTACAAAAATGGGTATGCGGGCATCAGTAACGAGTAAACGGATAATGAAAAAAATTAACATGATCAGAACGAAAACATGGCAGAGTCCAGAATTAGTTTTTATGAACAAGAATCAGAAGATTTAACAATCTTGAAAGTAAATTCCACAGAGCTTGCTCTAAGATGATGAAAGTAAAAACTAAAACGAACGGGCTGAGGAGAGGAAATATGATGTCTGCCCACAGAACTAGGAAATAAAATCAACGGGCACATAAGCCCAGCTCATGTTCCGCCGACCAGAGTGCTTCGTTTCAAAGACATCCCAACCCCAAGACAAAAAAGTAAAACATGGCTCCCAACAAACCAAACAAACGGAAAACCAATAAGCGGGTCACAGAATCAAAATGGCAAGAGACTACGCGAGAAAGGAATGGGGATTGCAAAAATCCAAACACACCTAAACGGGAGCAATATCAGATATAAGCACGAATAAGCAGGATATATGTCGCCAACACGCACATTCCAAGAAACCAACAATCGGAAAGGAAAAGGGAAGGCACACATAAATATTAGCAATTCGAGCTGAAAACGAATCGATAGCACATCTCGACAGGACTGAAAAGTGAAGACCCCAGGTCGGAAATGGAAAAAGAAAGGCGAATAAATCACAGAGAGAGTCTTGCAAGGCATACCAGTGAAGTGTAGAATCGAGAAGGCTGCAAGAATTGGAGTATGAGCTAGCCCTGCTTTCAGTATCTGGGTCGGTTCCTCTTTTCACTTGCGAAACTCGGAGAAAAGTAGAGAACATTTAGAAAATAATTATAAATAGAAAAAAAGAAAAATCAATATTCAATAAACCCTAAATTTTATATTTTTCTACGGGAAAGTTTTACAGCGTACTTGCGTGAAATCAAGTATGGAATTGCTATTTTTGGCATAGAAAGGCTTTTTGGACATTTCGCGGCACAAATCGGTAACATTTCGAGGAAGATGACGACGACGTTTAACTAGAGGGAAGATTTCGCTTCCAGTTAAGCCCATGCGCTTGAAGAAGCCCTCCTCGTGTCGGCCCAGAGGGGCTTCGAACTCATTCTGAGAGATTTAACGCAGCTCTGATTCTCCATCTTCTCCGAGGCGGAAATAGGAACCAGCCCAGATACACAAAGCAGGACTCGCTCACGGCCACCTCAATTCTTCACTTCACTGGTATGCCTTACAAGACTCTCAATGTGATTTATTCGCCTTTCTAATTCCATTTCTTTGTTTTCTGTTTGCCCGATTTGCATAGTGGGGGCCATGTTTTATTTATTTTGTGTCGTGAGAATGGGATGTCTTTGGAACGAAGTACACTGGTCGACGGAACATGAGTTAGGCTTACGTGCCCATAGATTTCATTTCTTATTTCTGTGTGCATGCATCATATTTCCTCTCCTCAGTCTGTTCGTATTAGTTTTTTAAATTTCATCATCTTTGAGCGAGCACTGTGGAAATTACTTTTAAAATTCTTAAATCTTCTGATTCTTGTTCATAAAAACTAATCTGGACTCCAAATAATGTTGTTGCTTCTAGATATGTTCAACACGAACTGAAGTGGGCAGGTTTTCATTCTGATCATTTAATATTTTTCCTTCTACCAGTTACTGGTACCCTCATACCCATATTTCTATCTCAGATACATTTACTACATTACAGGTGACTTTGTGCTTATCAAGTTTATTTGTTGAATGACAATATCTGTGACATAAAGCAGTCATGGCTGATGCTTCAGAAGTCGAGGAGCGGGTGGATCTTGAAGAGGACAATTACATGGAAGAGATAGATGATGATGTGGAAGAACATGTTGATGAGGATGGAGTAGATAGGAGAGATGGTGAACATCCCGAATATGATGTTGAAGAAGTAGGTGAAGAGCCTCGACTTGGCACGAACGAAGAAGATAAATTTTCTGGAGATGGTAGAAATAACGCATCCATAGAGTCTATAGAAAAGATAGAAAAGTCTACTTCTTTATTAGATGAAGATGATCTAGAGAAGCATGCTCAGCTTCTTTCTCTTCCTCCTCATGGATCTGAAATTTTTATTGGTGGACTTTCACGTGATGTTTCAGAAGATGACTTGAGAGATTTGTGTGAATCACTAGGAGAAATATTTGAGGTCTGGAGTGGTGTTTATTTTCTCTCATGCTTTCTCGGTCTTTCTCTGGGCCTTCGATTTTAGAGGTACGTTCTGTAATACAATTGTTTTGCAGATAAGGATAATAAAGGACAGAGATTCTGGTGAAAGCAAAGGTTATGCTTTTATATTGTTTAAAACAAAAGAGGCGGCACAACAAGCTATAGAGGATTTACATGGTAAAGAAGTCAAGGTAATGTTGGACTCCTTAAGATTTTGATGGTCTTATTACTTTATTATGTTTCAGCAACTTCAAAGCTGCTTTTTTTTTCAGATATTCATCATCAATAAATTTAAACTGATTTTAGTCATCCTCCACACTACAGGGTAAAACGATAAGGTGTTCTCTGTCTGATTCTAAGCACAGACTATTTATTGGTAATATCCCAAAAAGTTGGACAGAGGACGAGTTTAGGAGACTTATAGAAGGAGTTGGCACTGGAGTTGAAAACATTGAGCTTATCAAGGTGGAGTTGCAAATTTATACATTTTATTCTTTGAAATTGATAGTTATTGAGGCTTTATGTTCTTTTATCTGTACAAACTATTTCAGGATCCTCAGAACCCAAGCCGAAATCGTGGATTTGCATTTGTTCTGTATTATAACAATGCATGTGCTGATTATTCGAGGCAGAAAATGTCGAATGTGAATTTTAAGCTGGACGGAAATTCCCCAACTGTTAGTTGGGCTGATCCAAAAAGTATGCCTGATAACTCTGCCGTTGCTCAGGTAATTAAGTTATCATCATTAGAGAAAATTTTCTGGGATCTGCGTGACATTTTTCAAGCACCTTGAACCTTTGTATCAACTAGAATTTGGTTGACAAATGTGGTACTAAGGTTGAAAGTTAAAGCTGAAACGGTTCTTGGGCAGAGAAAATTCATGTGTCGTGCTGTATTGTTTCTTCAATTTCAATAACTAAATAAGGGAACCAGATATTTTACCCAAAAAAATTATATTGATTGATCAATGGAACATTGAGAAAGGAAATGTGTGTAGAAAGACAGTCATCTTGGTGGTTTCGAGGAACCTAATTTTGTAGTTTCCTCTTTGAGCCAAGCTTAGTACAAAACTCTGACAAAGTAGTCTGCCACGCCCCACCGATCCGCTGCTGGCCGCTGACAAACTTCAACGAATTCTAACTATCATTTTTGACAAACCATTGTACTACCTGTATGCTAATTGATATTAAGGCCTAACACTGATGTTTGGGGTTCGATGCTTTCTTTTCAAAAGCCTGTGTAATGGAAATGAGAATGTATTTAGCGATGAATGACGGATCTTAAATTTTTGGGCTTGTCTTCTTGAAACCTCTCTCTAGCCAACAACACTGAGTGCAGCTCCTTGGTGAGCATGTAAGAATTGATTGTGTTACCAATCGTTTCTATCTCTGAAACCTTTGAATTGGTTGTTGTCAGTTCTCTTTATGCCTGTGTATTAAGATGTACTTGAAGTAATTGAATTATACTTTGAATTTAGTTTCCAAATTTACAGGAAGATATTTAAAAGCGCATGGTAGTTAGAATACTGCATCGTTGTTGGTGAAAGCTATTAAGAATTGTTATGTTTTGGCATTGACTGCCTGACTTCTTATATCTTTGTGCTAGTAATTTATTATTAGTTCTACTACATTATGGATCGCAGGTGAAGGCTCTTTATGTGAAAAACATACCTGAGAATACTACTACTGAGCAATTGAAAGAACTGTTTCAGCAGCATGGGGAAGTGACAAAAGTGAATATGCCACCTGGCAAAGCTGGGAGTAGCAAACGGGATTTTGCATTCATCCATTATGCTGAGAGGTCAAGTGCATTGAAGGCTGTTAAAGAGACAGAGAAATATGAAATTGAAGGTTTTGTTTTTATATCTTCAGAGATTTACAGTTGAAATCTCAAATGCACAATCATATCCCCTTTTCTTCACAGAAAAACGTTGAACATATTCAAATTAGGTGCGTGCGTGCATAATCAAATTAGGCTGCAGACAGAACTTGGCCGGTGGCCCACTCTCTTTTCTCATAGCTCTCTTTGCAGTGTTTTCTCTCTGTTTACTGAAATGGACGATGTGTTCAACATATGCATGGAATTTCATTTAGTACAAGTCTTCAACATTTCAAGTTGTCTAAACATATCAGTTGTATCTGACGTTGTTTCTATAAAGGAAAAAAGGATGATAGAAGGGATCCAGAAATGCTTTGTCTGAACTTTTTTCTTCCAACCCAAAGAATAACGTTCAGGGATTTTAATCTGCAGGCCAACTGTTGGAGGTTGTCCTTGCTAAGCCTCAAAGTGATAAAAAATCAGATGGGGCCTATTCCCACATATCTGGAGGTAATCCCAACCATATTCTTCACGGTGGATACGGTGGTTACGGCGGAAACCCATATGGTTCCTTAGGTGGGTATGGTTTTACTGCTGGCTTCCATCAGGTACTTTCTTACCTAGAAGGCTTTAATAAAGAAAAGAATTCCACATTAATTTCATGGATTTGCTTGCATGAACAGCCAGTGATTTATGGTAGGGGGCCAATGCCAGCGGGAATGCAGATGGTGCCGATGGTTTTACCAGATGGTCGAATTGGTTATGTCCTGTAAGATTTCGCTCGACTTCAAATCCATTTCTATATAAGTATATAAGATAGTAGATTGTATATTGTCGCCTGTGAATGCAGTCAGCAACCCGGAGTACCAATGCCACCGTCTCGACCTCGAAGAAGTGAGAGGAGCAATGGCTCAGGTGGAGCGGCAGGTCGTTCGGGAGGTAGCAGTAGTGGTGATGAAACCAACCGTGGCAGAAGGTATCGACCCTATTAGTGATTTAGCCTAATGGTGTGATTGAGCATTAGGCTAAATCACAGGAAATAACAAATTGAAGGCAATTCTTATTATTAGCTTTTGGAAAATTATGTGTACCAAAGCAATTGCTCTCTCACCCATTCTTCTTGGTCTTCTTTTCAACTTGATACTGTTGTATATTCAACTCAACTCATAAATAACAAGGATTCCCTTTGTTAAGCAACTCGGGTTATGTGTTTTAAAGTATTTTATAAAATTAACATAAAACAAGTTATGAAGTAATTAAAATTTGTTTAGGTAACTACACTAGTTTTATTGTTCATATGGTTGAATTTTGAAATTAAAATTCAATTTATAAATAGGTTTCAATTAAAGCATGAAATTCAATTCTATTTTGGTTGGCTACCAAACTAATGACTTTTTTTCACATTTTTTTTTAAAAAAAAACCATATTTAATGGGTAGTTGCCTTATTAAATACTCTATTGAGTTAGTCCCACGACTATATATATATATATATATATATATATACGTCACACTATAAATTTATGCAGTGGGTAAAGTTAGTTTATGGTTACTAGAACTTTAATTTTTGATATTAATACAACATCATAGCTATAGTTTTCGTCTATAATTCTATAAACATTTTTTCAAAATAAGTTGGTTGCTCAACCCCAAAGAATTAGAATGATTTAGAATTATTTGTTTAAATATATTAGTTAGAAAATTTATCTTAAATATTATATCTTAATATGATTTGATTTATAGTATATTTTATTTTATTCTTAATATTTAATTAATTTATATTTTTTTATTGGTAAGAATTAGTTTATAGCTTTTATCCTATTATGAATATCAATAATAATACACACATTTCGTCCCAATTCTATTTCTCAATCTTAATAATAACACTTTGTTATAAAATGAGGAAAGTCTAAATTTTGTCAATTTTTTTTTTTTTATATGTAATCATTATGATCTCACATCAAATAATGTTATGGGATTTTCCACACATGGGGA